AAGAGGGTTCTTCCCTTCCTGCTTCTCTTCCTCCTTCCTCACCCTTTCAAGTTGAACTTGCGATGTCTAACTCTTACCTTTTCCATCCATGTCCCTGTCCCTTTCTCCCCACACCCTCCACCCTCGCCCTTTTGCCTCCTGTGTCCACTTTTCTCTGTCAAAATTGCAATCATCAGAATCTTGTAAGGTTCTTTGAGGTGCGGGTGGAACGTGGGTTCTGTGTACGTCACCCTTGGCTCGCTGCGCTAACGCTGGCGTCTGGCTGGCTGTGACTGTTCCTGCTTAGCTGGGCAATCAGGCAGGGCCAGCTAAATGGGCAGAGGCTGAGAACTACTTGGGAATTTTGAAGAAATTAAACAGTTGCAAAGTTTTGTTTTGTTTTGTTTTTTGGTGGGGTGGAGTGGGAACACATTATTCAAATATAGTGTGACTATCTAATAATGGACACCCACTCTCTTATAGAAGGAGTGCTGTTTTTTTTTTTTTTTACTTCTTTGTAGGCCCTTACCATGGTATAGATTTTATCTGTGTGCGTGTGTATGGGTGTAAAACTCAGTGTTCCTTCTGGGGACGATTTGATTGATTTATACACTAGAAACATCTTTAATAATTTAATGCTTGCTTCAAAGGAGATTACACCAAAAAGCGCATTGCTTTTCATTTATTCATTACAGATCTGTCATAGAAGCATTTTTTTGTTTCTTTTTTGGTCCTGAATTGTGTTGTAGTAATAATAAATTTCGTACTACACTCAGGATATTTTAAAGGATTATAAGCCTTTTAACTAATGTTACCATCTTATTTAAATTGATTAAATTGGTATTTCAGCCCCACAATCCAGCATTTCTTAAAGTTGAGCCAACCAGATATGGCTTCGTTTGATGACTACTAAAATAGCTGTGCTGGGAAAGTCTAATAGAAATAATGGGATGAAAGCATAATACTGCTTGTTAGTAGTGCTGGTAATAACAGCGAAGAGAACAGAGCTGAATTTAGGGCTAGGTGTCTCCATCCTTAAAAAGAGATTAGGGTATATCCCAGCCCAGCTCTTTTCATTAAAGGGGAAAAAAATGTATATGCGTTTGGGGATTGGGAGCAAAGAAAGGGGTAGGATGAGAGACTTAAAACTAACAACTAGAAACCAACACTCTATCGTTCTGTAACTTTTGGGTATAAATCCAGATATCAGTAAAGGAAAACAGACTTTTTCCCATTTAGACAGCCGTAGTCACCTTAGCAGACTTTAGCAAGCTCTTGTAATAGATTCTCAGAGGCAAGGGACATATCTAGATTCCTGAATGGTTACACTAAAATTTGAATTTTCTGGTATCATTATTAAAGATTTTGTATTAAAAATGCTGTATAACTTCTCTTTAAAACCAAAACCCAAAGTTGCTTTGAATAAGGCAACAATAGGCACAGTAAGGATTACAATTTCTAGAAGTGCGGTACACGATTATCCACTTTTCAGAGGTAACTTGCACAGAAATCTTTTTGCTCTCATTGGCCATTAGCACTGTAGTATTTCTGGATTTTCGTTATGTCCTGCTTCAAGTACTCTGCCTAACAATGTTTATAATGTTCCTTCCCTAGATCTACCAGTCTTTAATAGAAATCCAGAAATGTTTTGTTCTCAGGTCAGTAATTCTTTAAACAATAAAAGTCATGTTGCCTACTGCAGACGTCATATTTTCTGGCCATTGAAAGTATACTTGAGTGTGCTTGCAGCAGTGCTAGATACATTAGCAACTGCTTGTGTTATTTCTCGGAGAAAGAATATAGGACTTTGGGACAAGACCACCTTGGGTTCCATCTTAACCCTGTTTGTTCACCTGCGGTGTGATGCAGGCAGTGTTGAGGGATTTCTCATTTTCCTCATTCATATAATGGGCATCAGAAGCCTGTTTCGTAGGGTTCTTGTGAGGGTTTTAGGAAATGATGAATGTCTGAATGCTGAGAGTGACATTCGGGTGACGGGTGCTTGCTGTATTTGCTGCCTGTCCTTTGCTCTCCACCTATGAACACCATTCACGCAGTGCTGTAGAAACCTCAGTGCCCAGACTGTGTGGGATGTGGCCCCAGCCTGCCACACCCCACCCTGAGTTACTGCCCTTTCCTCCTGCCCCACGATCACGTGATGTGCTGCTGTACTGCTCTGGGCTCGTTGATGTCACAGTCGTATTTGTCTCTGAATGCCTGGCATCTAGCCCAGCACAAACAGCTGCTCCAGGCCCATTAGCTCGAGTCATGGTGCCTGAGAGCCCTCCAGTGTCTCTTAGAGTCCCCCTGTGAGTATCCCCTAAAAAATCTCTCAGAGTCACCAGCAAGGGAACTTGCTGTCTCTTGGTCCAAGACCCCTGAGCCTTTTCATGGCCTCTTCTGATAGGTTAGTGGGGAGCCACCCGCTGTGTTTCTCTGAGTTGGCTCTTTTTTGTTTTTTTCCCTCTGTAAATTATTTTTTAACATCTTTATTGGAGTATAATTGCTTTACAATGGTGTGTTATTTTCTGCTTTATAACAAAGTGAATCAGCTATACATATACATATATCCCCATATCCCCTCCCTCCCACCCTCCCTATCCCACCCCTCTAGGTGGACACAAAGCATGGAGCTGATCTCCCTGTGCTATGTGGCTCCTTCCCACTAGCTATCTATTTTACATATGGCTCTTTATTCTAACTCTCTCCCGCCCAGAGTCCCCTCTCTGTCCCAGTGTCTTATTGAGGAAGCCTCTGGACCTCCTGGTGCTGCCGGTTCCTTCCCTGGGTCCCTCAGAAGCCCTTTCTCCTCAGTGACATAAATGTCATCTTTGGCCCCAGACATTTCCTCTGCTCTGTTTTCACAATGACAGTGCCCACCCTGTCCCTCGCCACACTCTCCTGTCATCACTTCTAGTGCGTCTGCGTCAATGCTTTGCCGTCTTTGTTCTCTGCATTGAGAGAGGGTGCGACAAGCCTGTGGAGATGGGAACATAGTGTTTTCTCCTTTGGAAATTGAAAAATTTTCTCACCTTCACTCATTTAGGTCTTATGCATAAAAACCAGAAATCCTTACCAAGCGCTGTGGGTTTCATTTTATAAATCTCTTGCCTTTTCTTTCCACATCGTCTGGCAGATCTATCCCCTCCCACCTTTAGTTTCTGTCCAGCATTTGGCCTTCCTAAGGGCCTCTCCCTGGGCAGCATGCTTAAGGGTCACTAGGGCTCTACGCAGTTTGATGTTAAGCAACTGAATGGAAATTTGAAAGATGCAGAAGCACTGTACTATTATTTAATTTGTATGATGACAAAGATGATGGTTATTGGAATATTTTAAGAATTCATTTTTTTAACCTTCATTTTTTTAAAGGGCATCTTTGATATCATGTAATCAAATCTGAGACTTTATGTTGGACAGAGTATAAGAATTCATGGTTCTGCCTCTTTCCTCTTCGAAATAATGTTGTGTTGAATTTTATCCTGAGTTTTTTTAGTCTACTCTGCTCCATTTCCTTCCTTCTTTACTTCCTAAACTGGGAGCATTATGATAACTTTTATAAGAAGACCATTAATAGGCCCATAATAAGAATTTGGGTAGTTAGAGGAGAATGGACTTCCAGAGTTGGAAGGGAGGTCAGAGTTAATTGCACCTCAAACCTTTGTTTTACAGATACCAGGGGATTAACTGACCTGTCCAGTGTCAGATGACTAGAAAGAGGCAGGAGTGGGGTCCTAACATAAAACAAATTCTGTTTCTACCCTATCCTTTAAAAAACTCATATTTTATTAAGGCCAATGAAGAAATATGGTAGGTCCAGGAAAGAATGTATTATAACAAACGGGAAGATATTTTAATTTTTTTTTTTTTTTTAGGGTCATGATGTGCCAGGTGCTTTGCTAGGCACTGTATGTAACTTATTTAATCTCCGTGGAAGTTTTATTATATTCTCATTTTACAAGTGGGGAATATGAAGTTCAAAGAAGTTAGGTAACAGCCAGTAAGTGCCCGGCCAGGACTTGAACCTGGGTCTTTCTCTCTCCAAAGTCTTGGCTCTGGAACTTGGCCTCCTTTTCTCTTTTAAAACATACTTACATGTATCTAAATAACAGTAAAAATGCCTAGTTTATAAAATACTTGAGCGTTTATTATTTTTATAGAAAGAATATATAGTTTCTTGGCCTTGGATCTGCACGACAATCACTTTTTTTTTTTTTTTTTTGCGGTACGCGGGCCTCTTACTGCTGTGGCTTCTCCCATTGCGGAGCACAGGCTCCGGACGCGCAGGCTCAGCGGCCATGGCTCACGGGCCTAGCTGCTCCGCGGCAATGTGAGATCTTCCCGGACCGGGGCACGAACCCGTGTCCCCTGCATCGGCAGGTGGAGTCAACCACTGCGCCACCAGAGAAGCCCTCGACAATCACTTTTTGCATTTAGAGATATACAGTCAACTCTCTTAGGCATTGTGTGGAAAGCTGTCCATGTTTATTTTTAGAAAACCAGGGTTCACATCCTGGCCATCGCCATTGCCCTTTTTCATACGTAGGGATTTAAATACATAGCAGACGCTAGTGGTGGGGATGATAATCTCTCCACAAAGAATTTTTTTTACCTCCTCCTCTGGGCCACTAGACATTGGCCAAGTATCCTGCAGTTTAGTTTTCTCTTTGCCATGGGGATTAAGAACATTGATTTGGGAGTCACATGCTTCATCTTCATTCTGGCTGTTCCACTTACAAAGAGTGGAATCTTGGGCTAGATACTTGGTCTCCCTAGACCTTAGTTTTCTCACCTGTAAAACGGGAATAATACCAACCTCACAGGATGATTGTGAGAATTAAATGAGAAAATATTTGTGAAGAATGGTATATTTGTAAAGGTTAACACAAGATATACTCTGCATATGCAAATGTAAGGAAGTTTTACTTGACAGTAATATTATAATTATTACATTATTATAATGTGCCATGGAGAATCTCTGTTATACTTCCTATTTTTATCCATTATTCCTTTTGATCCATCAGAGGCCAGCAGAAATAGTAGATGAGGAAGATAGAGAGAAAGAAAATAAGGAAGTGGGACAGAAGGAAGACTTTTCAGGAATGAATGGTGGAGTTGAAGAGGAAGGAGGCGGGGAGGCTACCAAAGCTCCAGAGCAAGCAGAGATCCTGGATCACAGGGAGGAGCAGGCAGGTCCTGCTCGTGTGAGCAGAGGCACCAATGAAGAAAATGGCGAGGAACCGGACCAGGTTAATAATGAGCTCCAAGAAGCAGTGGACGAGGAAATAAAGTCTCAAGGAGCTGGCAGTGGATGTGAAGAGGTATTTCTATTGCTTTTGCTCACTTGTGTGCATGCATGAAGTGTGTGTGTGTGTGTGTGCATGAGTGTGCATCTGTGCTTACACTTAGGGAATTATTCAAGCACTTAGGACTTGAAAGCTATGGCACTTCCAGGATTCCATGGAACAGAGTTTGAAAACCAGCTAATTCTAATCTTACCCCCTTAGTTTTCAGTCCAGTGGGTAAAAGACAAACTGTAATGAGATATCATTAATGTATGAGAAATCCAAGGGGCAGGGATGCTGTTCCAGAAGCTGCCTTTATGTTTTCATTTTCTGTCCTGCTCTTATCTACTTGATGGTGCTTGGTACCATAGTCACAAAGAATTTGTGAATTCTAGTAGAAAACTAATAAAAGACATCTGGTATGGGGCTGGATTATTAATGTGACACGAGAGGAGAACTGCTGCATTTTACTCTTCCCTTTTCTCTGAAAATGCTAAAATGAAAAGTATAGGTATGTTGTTGAAAAGAAAAGCTCAAAAGGAAATAAAGAAAAAAATTGAGAAAAATAACACCTGAAGCTCAAGAGGTGAGTCTGTGCCCTTTAAGCACATGGTGGATTATGGTCCCAGAAGGGGCTTCTGAACAAGTAAAGTTTGAGATTGTCATGTCCACTGGGTGATGATAGACTAAACAACATAGGGAACCCAAGGAGCTATTTTTAGTTGAATATTTATAAGATTAAAGGCAATAGTGAGTCATTTTTCCTTTGTAAATTTTATTGCCTCTGTAACTAAAGAGCTAAATATCTTTGTTTTCATCTGTTTTCCTTCAGGCTGACTTGGACCCTCAAAGACCACCAAAGCCAGAAGTAAAAATCACCAGCTCACAAGAAAATGATAACAGTGAACAAAACAAGGATAATCTGTCATAGCGTGGATGATTTTAAAAAAGAGATTATATTGAGTTTAAGAAAAATTAAGGGTTATAATACTCGAATAATAAGCATATAGTTATTGCTAAACATAATGTGACAATATGGTTGAATACTACCTACTGAAATTTAAAATTAGAGGCCAAACTAATGGGAAACACTAGATAACTTTGAATAGCTACTAAAGCAGAGTGACTTTTTATGAGATGTGTTTTAAAAAGTCATTTAGAAAAATTAAACAAGAGTAATAGAGGGGAATTTGCACTGGAAGACAATTGGCCACTTGTCTTTGTAAAGATGAAAAAGAACGAGATCATTACTGTTCTTGGTAAGTGAGATTATTAGATGGCAGCTTATGCTAAAGCACTTATCTAAGAGGCACAGAATTAAAAAAAAATATAATAGGAAAGCATGTACTATTTCTTTTAAAGCAATAAACTCTTGAATAAACAAATTGCAATTTAGTTTCAGAGATAATTTGAAGATGGCAATAGACTGAAATGTTTCTGTGTCTTGTTGACACTCCTTTCTTTCTTCCTCCTTAGCCAAAATCCACCTTAAGAGAACAAAAAGGAAAATGCAAGGTATTCATTTTGGAAGGAGGAAGTATTCATTCAGTGTATTCCTGACAAATATTGTCATGCCCCTCCCTTAACTGCTGCAGGTTTTAATCCTTATGGCTTTAATGACACATATTCATGAAGGAATTATAAAGGAACACCCAATTATATCACTGAGCCTGGCTGGGTGTTTTGCAAATTCTGGTATCCTATGGATTTTCGTTGATCCAGTCTCTACCATTACCAATAATACTCCTCTCTTCTCCTTTGCATTATTGTTCAATATTAGAAAATTCAATATTGGCTATTCCAAAGATTGAATTTTCTCCAAACAGTTTTTTAACAAAAAGAACAAGATAGCATAGTAGAAAAAAAGTAGGCTACATGAAGAGTTTGTTACTCCTCAATTTCTCTTGCTTTTTGCCTTATTTCTATTAGGACCGCCTTGTCATATTTTTTCCCTTAGGGGTATCAGCAAATATTTATTTTCATGGTCAGTTATATTTAGACTTTCAAGCAGATTCCTTTCTATATAATTAGAAGCTATAGGATAGAAATTGTTGAAAAAAGATTAAAAACTGTCATAATGAAACCAGTTCCTGATTGCAGTTTTAGGGGTTAATTAACTCAAATTGCCTTGTTAGGTATATACGGAGAAAAAAATAATCGTATTAGTTTTTTGAATTCTTAAGAGATGATGCAGTTCTTCCTTAAATATAGAAATATGTTTTTCTCATATTAAAGAATATTTTTGTTAATCATGTATGTTATAAATTTGAAATTTTAACTTCTTGTGCTTTCATAGAATTCATTATTAATGATAAGTTTAAAAGATTTTTTTCCCCTCCAGGTTTCATAACAAATCACTTGGAATCAAAGTAGTTACATAAAGCACTTAATAATACTATAGAAAACTGGTGTATTTTTCCTAGAAGCTATTTTAATATTTTCCACAAATAGGAAGTATATGCAGAGAATATAATGTAACAGTATTGGAAAGAGATACTGACATAAGGGTATAGTAATCTGGGAGGATGATTATAAATGGGGTCCTATATTTCTAATATAAGCTCTAGATGGTGCTTTCTATTAATAGGCTTATTTTTTCAAATGGGGCGACGTAAAACATTGCAGACTATAAGCAACAATCTTAATAATTCTTGTTGCTAGGGAAATAGACTACCTGGTCTTTTAAATTCCCACACTATTACTGGGCCTGGGGTTAATGATTGCAAATAGTTTATAAAAATGTGGGATTACATATAAGAAATTACAACTGATTATCAAGGTGATTCTTTTTTCTTTCTTTAATGAGGATTTTATCTCTCTCTCTCTTTTCCTTCTTCAATAAAGATATTCTGTCTCTTTTTTTTCCCTGTTCTTTGCTTCATCATACTTAATATTTAGGTTTTCAGGAACTTTTTAAGAGTCATCTTAGTGAAGCACAATGTTACTTTAAATGAAAAACAAAGTTTGGTATGTTAAGTATACTTCAAGAAGGTGATAGGCCACAATACCTGTAGCAAAAAATTTAAAAATTGGGACGTAATACTTTTATGGCATATTTCACCACCTGTCTGTAGGATATAACTGTGACTTAACTTGAGGGATGAACAGTCACTAATAACTTTAAAACACTTTGCAAGCATATGTTACTAAAAAACAAAAACAAAAACAAAAAACTATGTCGTCCAACCAAGGAAGAAATCACTGACAGATGATTAAAATTGTAAATGTCATTTTGGAGATGACTTTAACACACATGATGAAAGTTAATTCACCTTCCAAATGTGGACATTTTCCTTGTGGGAATGGTGGCCTCCGTGGCAGAGTAGCTCCACAAATGAAGTGAGACTCACTGACAGATTTGGAGAACATTTATGTGAGTGAGCAGAAGAGATCTTGGTTAGGCTTCAGGTATTGTTTTATAGAGGGTGTTAGTAAGAAAAACTCGTGGAGCTTTTATGTGGTAACCAATCACAGAATGCTTTCATCTGTTCTTTGTGATAGATTTTCATAGTTTTAATGAAATGCTTTTCTTAAATTTCATTGGGTTTTAACACATTTATCAGCAACTGGTTTGTTAGTTGAAATGGAACATTAGGAGTTTTGCAGCGCAAATAAAGAAGATTTTTAACTAAAGTCATTTTCATGCAAAGGACATATTACCTGGTTTAGCTTCTGTTAAAATTGCATTTGAGCATCCATGGATTTCTAATTATAAAACAAGATACTCTGGCCTTAAGATAACTTTTTACTCATTATATTTCTCTATGGACATAGGATGACTTTTTGTTTATTAAGACATTTTGGGGGGGAATATTAGAGAGCCAGACTCATAGGAAGAGTATGATACCCTCTCGTGCCTCCCGTTTTATGAGAGTGTTGATTCCTGGTGTCGTCTGTAAGCACAGACA